TATATATATACTAGTACTTTCTAATTAATATCTTTACTTCTTCAATTCTTTCAAGATCTAAATCAAACTCTATGGTCTATATTTTGATTGTTTTCTTTATATAATCTTGCTAATTTCAATACCAACACAGGAAACTAATTAAATGTAAACTAATTAAACAATCCATTAGGATAAAATACTAACTTGATGATAGTCAACTAAATGTGAGGTATTTAATAGATTTAGTCTAATTTGTACTTCAATTCGTTTCTCTCTTTTTTGCAGAAAAGCTGTTTTATCCGATGGAAGTCTTATTTTCTGTTGGAGGTTCTCTTTTATCTGCTACGTATGACTCGCTATGCGAAAAATTGATGGAACATCCAAGTGCTCAGCTATGGGATTATCTAAGAGATCAACTACAGGATTCAGAGAAGGAAATACGTGCCCAGATGGAAAACTGGAAGACTCTATTGCCCAAAATTACTGCTGTACTTCAACATGCAGAAGAAAATCAAGCTGCCAACCAGTTTGTGCAGTCATCTCTTGATGATCTCAGGGACTTGGCTTATGATATGGAGTACATACTCGATGAGTTTGTGTTTGATGCCAAGAGGTCTGAATTGAGTGCAGAATCTAAAGCCAGACCTAGCAAGCGACAAAGAATCATCTCCGGTGTCAAGAATATTTTTAGCTTTAATAAGGCTAAGCCCAATCAAGAGATTAATTCCATGGTGAAGGATCTAAGTGGTAGATTGCAGAAAATTGAAAAGGAGATGCATACTTTTGGCCTGATCAATCTGATTATGAAAGCTAAAGATAAGTCCCATAGAGTAGCTGTTGAAAGATTACCTGAGTCTTCTCTTCTTGAAGATAAGGTGATAGGTCGAGATGTTGATAAAGATGATATTCTTAAGAGGTTGCTAGAAGATGGAGATAATCTTGAACAAGACTTTGTTATTCCCATTGTCGGAATGGGTGGACTAGGCAAGACAACTCTTGCTCGGCTCATTTACAATGATAAAAAACTAGAAGGCAAGTTTGACTTGAAGGCATGGGTTTCAGTTTCTGATGAGTTTGATGTTGCTCGAATAACAAGAACCATTTTGGAACAGGTAACTGAGAAAAAGTGTGTTCTTGATGATTTTTGTTCACTTCAAGAGGAATTGGAAGGGGAGTTATCTGGGCGTAAGTTTTTTCTTGTATTGGATGATGTTTGGAATAAGGAATATGGCGGGTGGGATGTTTTGAAGAGACCTTTCATGTCAGGAGTTCTTGGAAGTAAAATAATTGTCACAACTCGAAATAAGGATGTTGGGACGATGATGAGAGGAGATGATGGAGTTTATAATTTAGCATTGCTACAAGATGATGTTTGTTTGCCATTATTTACACGACATGCATTGGGGAAAGAGAACTTTGATGCGCACCCATACCTACAAGATGTAGGTAAGAAGCTTGTTGAGAGGTGCAAAAGATTGCCATTGGCACTAAAAACACTCGGTGGCGTCTTGCGGGGAAAGCTGTGTCGTGATGAGTGGGAAAATGTATTAAACAGTGATATATGGGGTTCATCGGAAGATAGAAGTAGAATTCTTCCTGCTCTGAGATTGAGCTACAATGATCTTCCTTCTTACTTGAAGCGATGCTTTGCTTATTGTGCTTTGTTCCCTCAAGACTATGAATTTAAAGAAAAGGAGCTGGTTTTATTATGGATGGCTGAGGGCTTATTGCAGCAATACTCATGTGGAAAGAAGCAAGTGGAAGAGGAGATTGGCCATCAATATTTCCGTGAATTATTGTCCAGATCACTCTTTCAGCAATCAAGTACAAATAAATCACAATTTGTGATGCATGATCTCATAAATGATTTAGCTGTAGATGTTGCTGGAAAAATATATTGCAATCTTGAACGTAGCATGGGTGATGAAAAATTAGAGAAAGCTCGTCATTTGTCATTCATTCCACACCGGTTTGAAATCTCAGAGAGATTCACACTCTTGGATAAATTGAAGCATTTGAGAACATTCTTGCCACTCTGTGATCACTACCAATTTCAGCAGTATTTGTCTAAAAAAATCTTGCATGATTTCCTACCAACATTAAATCGCTTAAGAGTGCTATCTCTTCGCCGCTATCAGATAAGCGAGCTACCAGAATCTTTTCAAAATTTGAAACATATTCGGTACATTGATTTGTCTAGTACAAGTATCGAATGTATACCTGAATCAGTGGGTTCTCTTCTCTTCTTACAAACACTACTATTATGTGGTTGTGAAAAGCTTAGCAAGTTGCCTATGACAATTGGAAATCTAATTGATCTCCATCATCTTGATATCACTGATACGCCATCTTTAAAAAAGATGCCATCAGGAATAGGCAATCTTAAAAATCTTATAACATTGTCCAAATTCATTGTGGGGAAGGCAAGTGGAATGATGACAAGATTATCTGATTTGAAGAACTTGTCGCAACTTCGAGGAAGACTATCTATTCTAGGTTTGAAGAATGTTTTGGATGTCCAAGATGCGAGGGAGGCCAACCTAGACAAGATCCATGGTTTGGAAGAGTTAGACTTGAAGTGGACTATTTCTTATTTTTATCTGGGGTGGACTACTTTTGATATTGGTCTGGATTCTGATTCTGATCTGGAGCGGAATCTGGAGCGGACTACTTCTGATAATGATCGAGATTCTGATTCTGATCTGGAGCGAAATCTGGAGCGGACTACTTCTGAGAATGATCGAGATTCTGATTCTAATCTGGAGCGGAATCTGGAGCGGACTACTTCTGGTAATGATCTGCATTCTGATTCTGATCTGGAGCGGAATATGGAGTGGACTACTTCTGATAATAATCGACATGAATTAGTCCTTAAAATGGAAGTCCTCAACTCGTTAAAACCTCATTCAAATTTGAAAAGTCTCAAAATTTCTTACTATGGTGGTGAGAAGTTCCCTCCCTGGGTTTGTGATCCATCATTATTTTTCAATTTATCATCCATGGAGCTCCGTGGATGTAAGAGATGCACTTTGTTACCATCTCTTGGCCTACTACCTGTTCTCAAAAAATTGATTATTGAAGGCATGGATTCAATAAAAGCTATAGGTTCTGAGTTTTATGGGCAAGATGGCACTTTTCCGTCACTGGCTGAATTGGTGTTTAGAAACATGCGAAAGTGGAAGGAATGGACTTCTCCAACTGGAAGTGCAGGTGAATTCCCTTGTCTTCATAAGCTTGTGATTGAAAATTGTCCTAAGTTGTTAGGACAATTACCCAACAACCTTTCTTCACTTAAAGTGTTAGATGTTAGAAGCTGCAACGGGAAGCTTTTGGAGAGCATGGTTGATCTCACTTCCCTCACTAACTTGACAATTTGGCAAATTTCAGAACTGACTTGCTTGCCTGAGAGTTTTACACAGTCTTGTACAGCACTTGAGACTTTGTATATTTCTTGTTGCTGGGATCTTACTTGTTTGTGGGAGGAAGGGATAGAAATAGAACAAACCCTCTTGCCTTTCAATCTTAAACATCTTACCCTCCAGAGCTGTATAGCCTTGGAGTCATTACCCAATGCAATGATGATCAGGATGGATGGAAGCAGTAGCAGCAACACTAGTATGTTGATGTCGAGACTAGAAAGGTTGGAAATTGATTGTTGTCATTCTCTCAAGTCGTTTCCAAGAGGCAAATTACCCACCTCGCTTAAATACTTGAGAATATATGATTGTGACGGTCTTGAGTCTTTACCAGATGCTGATGGTGACAATCTACATTTGGAAATAAGGAATCTTCCATGTTTGTATTCTTCTCGGGGTAGTTGTCATCAGCTATTAGCTTTTCTCAAGGAATTTGCAGTTATTGATGATGGCGAGTGGTTGTAATCATTTCCAGAGAGAATGTTGCAAAATTGTACGGGACTTCAATCCATTTCTTTTTCGAATTGTAAAATATTGAAAAGTTTACCCAATCTTGATTACATCAGCAATCTCTTTCGATTATCTATTTACCACTGTAAAGTTTTAGAGTCCATACCAGAAGAGTTGTGGTCATGCACCCCCAATCTTAAGCTGTTGATGATAAACAGGTGTAAGAATTTCAAATCCCTCCCAAATACAATGTACCAGCTGAAATCTCTTCAAAACCTATGGATGGAAGACTGCCCCAGCATCGAGTTCATTCCAGATGGGGGTTTGCCCCCAAACTTAATAGATCTTCGATTAATTGGGTGTAAGAATCTCAAGCGTGTGTCGAATACAATGTACCAGCTCACATCGATTCAGGATCTAGCACTTTCAGATGGGGCTTTGATGATGGGCCTCCAAAACCTTACGTCTCTTCGATCGTTGACAATTACGGAGAAATTCCCTCTGGATATTGTGCTGCCTTCTTCTTTAACCTTTCTTTGGATTGAGGAAGAAGAAAATTTGGAATCCATACCTGGGGGGCTATTCCAAAACCTAAGCTCCTTTCGATGCTTAAAAATACAAAGCTGCCCGAAGCTACGATCTTTGCCAAAGGAAGCCTTCCCTCCCTCACTTCAACAACTACGCATCTTGTGGTGTCCGCATCTAAAACGACAGCGCTTTGAGGCGGGAGGAGACTACTGGACTCTTACTTGGAGCATTCCCGATGTTTCGGTAAGTGAGTTTTAGGTAATAAGAGCTTGGTGTGAACTGAAACGGGCATCGCAATTTTACGCATTTCATATAAGAATTTAGAAAAATCTTTAATAGATACACTTTTCTCAGACTTCTTCTGCCTTTTCTCCTATTTTCCTTTTCTGTTTTTGGTAGTTCTATTTTAAGTAATTCAGTTTAAATTTTGGAGTTCTGAACTGGAGATGGAAAGATCTGCTTTATGTTTTGTTTTCTTATGG